CAATCTGAACGCATGAATTAATGGAGATAAGAGTGAATAATTGAAGGCCCAAGCAGCAACCCGCTCCACAACCTAAGCTCCTTCCCCTTCCTTTTTCCCCCTTCCAGCCCCCTTTTCTTCCCCCCACCCCCCCCGCAACTCCCCAGCCTTTGGCCCAGGCCACAGATCAATAGAGAACAGAGTTATCCAGCTGTCAGCAATGCTCCAAGCTCTAGACCCTTCTGCCCATTTTTGCCAACTGTTTGGAGCAAAGGGAAATAATCTGGTTGGAGGAAAGACAGAAATGACAGTTTCCGGAACCTTCTCCCTCACCCAGCAGAACCTGGAAACAGCTGTTAGCTGCTCCTTCAGAGGGTGGTTTCTTTTTTGTTTTTGTTTGTTTTTATTGGTTTTAGAGAGGAAGAGAGAGCAGAGAGAGATAGAAACATCAATGAGAGAATCATTGATGGGCTGCCTCCATCATTGATTGATGGGCATATGCCCAGATAGGGAATTGAACCCTGATCTCCTGGTTCATGGGTTGATGCTCAATCACCGAGCCACGCCAGCCGGGCTCCTTCAGAAGGTTTTAAAGGACACGTTGATGGGCCTGGCTGGCTTTGACACAGAACAAGTGGAGGCAAAAGAGAGCCGGTCATTTCTAGTGTCTAGAGTTCACTGGCCAGGGCTGGGGTGAGACATTGCGTTCCCACTGCAGCTGCCAGCAGAGGAGTCAGATGATGACCAGACAGCGCCTGAGTGGGGTCTGAACACAGGCCATGAGAGGGAGCAAGGCCCTCGGCCACAGGCCTGGGAAAGCCTCCTGCAGGGACTGATTGGGCCACACAGGCTGAGGAGTTCTCTGGGCCAAGAAGAGGGGGTTTTAGGAAATAAGAATTTGGGGGAAATTTAAAAACTGACCTCAAATAGTTCTGGTGCCTGTGTTAGACCCATATACTCAGATGTGCTCTGTATCGTGACTTCCTTCCCCCTCTTCTTCCCCTCCCCCCATGTAGTTCCCCGAGGCTATGCTCCTCCTGCCCAGAGACCTGTCCGCACTCTTGGGAGAGATGGAGAGATGGAGGCCGGAGCCTCTTTCTCGGTCCCCTTGGTCCCTGAGGTTCAGGCTCCAGGCCTGGTTCTGCCCGTGTCCCTCCCTTCCCACTGGCCAGAGCCTGACACACAGCCCTTCTCTGCCTTTGCCAAGAAGGAGGCTGCTAAAAGCACAGCTCACCACAGAGGCCAGGACCAGTGTGCCAGGTAGCCAAGTGGAGCTGATTATCCTTTTAATCCTCACTCCAGGACGTACTTAGAGAAAGGGATGGAGAGAGAGAGAGAGAGAGAGAGAGAGAGAGAGAGATCAATTGCCTTCAATACATGCGCCAACCTGGGGTCAAGCTGCAACCCAGGCATGTACACTAAGCCGGAACTAAACCGGCAACCCTTCCGTGCACAGATCAATGCTCAGCCAACTGAGCCACTAGCTGGGCAGGAGTGGATTCTCCATTGTATCTTCCCTACTGTGTTGCGCTTCTCTGAGGCCCCGTCTGGGTAGAGGAGTCTGCCCAGAATGGCTGTGTGACCTTGGGCAAGTTACTGCACATCTCTGGACCTCGGTGTCTCGTTTGCTCAGTTGTAATCTGTACCCGAGGGTCTGTCTGGGGTGAGGTAGGTGAACAGGTTTTGTGAGCTGTTGAGCACAGCACTGGACTGGGAGGTTATTTCTTTGGCTTTGCCCTGGGCCCCCGTTTGAACAGAAGGCTGTCGCAGGGTTCATTGTTTGGGCCTCAGCTTCCAGGTGGGAATTCTGAACCTGGGTCCAGGGCTGGCCTGCAGAAAGTCCTGCTGCCATGTGCAGACCTTTGAGCAAGTGCATTTTTCTAGGAAGAGGATGGAGCTTCCCATCAGACCCTGAAAGGAATCCATAAGTAAAAACCTACTAAGAGGCCTGAGCCTTAGGACTCCCTCAATGGGGACTCAGGTGCCAGGGAACTGCCCACAAGGCAGGCAGAGGCCTCCAAGGATCAGCAGGAACGCAGGCTGGGGTGACCTGTGCGTACCCGTCGAACATGGACCTGGGGAGACAGCTACACGGGTCCAGAAATGCCAACGAGATGGTTCTCAGCAGGCCAGCAAGACAGCAGAGCTGACGCATCCATGTCGTGAGGATCAAATCTAGATCAAATCAAGACCAAATCTAGAACGTGAGATCTTGAGACACTCTCCATGCTGGCCCGGCTTGGCGTCGTGCCCACGGTGCTCTGAGAGAAACGCGGATAAATGGAAATGTGTCCGGAGGACACGGGCCAGCTGACAAACGGTCTGGAAACCAGCCTCGGGAGGAATGACTGGAAGACCGGAGGGTATTTGGCTCAGAACAAAGAATTCTATTGATAGATGGGGGATGGGGAGGGGACATGCAGTTCCTGAAGTGCTGGGAATGGATTCCACAGAGGTAGACTGCGACTCAGCAAAAATACCTTCTCACCGTGAGCTCTATCCCACGGGGAGGGAATGGACTGGGACTCCCCAGGGCCCCACAGCGTTGGGCGTTGAGAAGGGAATAAATGTGAGGCAGGGTCTCAGTTCTAGCATGGAAGGAGATGAAGAAACGGCAAGGATGCCCTAGCCGGTTTGGCTCAGTGGATAGAGCGTTGGCCTGCGGACAGAAGGGTCCCAGGTTCGATTCCGGTCAAGGGCACATGCCCAGGTTGCGGGCTCCATCACCAGTAGGGGAGGTGCAGGAGGCAGCCAATCAATGATTCTCATCATTGATATTTATTTAAAAAAAGAAAAAAGAAAAAGAGAAGACAATGACCACTCTGTCCCTGGACTCAGGGAGAAGGGGTGTGGCCGTGTGGAGGAGAGAGGGGGCAGGGCAGTAAGCCTCGGCCAGGTCTGGGCCCCTGTGGCCTCTGTCTGCTTTCACAAAGGCTTCTGCTCTGACTGGCTGGATCTGCTGCAAACACAGGCCCCCCCCCCCCCCAACTCCCATCCCCACCCCAATCTGGCCTCTAGCCCCATCCCACGGACCCTGATTGTTGCACAGAGCAGGGGAGCAGGGCTGGACACCCAGAGAAGCTGGCCGTGAGGAGGGCTGGTCTCCAGGACCCTCGGGCAGAAGCTGGGCTGTCCTGGGCTGGCCCTGGGGATGGGAATGGCAAGAAGGCTCCTTGGTGAGTCACCTGTGGCAGTTGTCTGCTCCGGCTCCTTCCGGGGGAGGGAGAGCAGGCTCCTGGCCAGCCGGGCCTGTGAGGACAGGTTCCACACGCCCGTCCTCACAGCTCTGGGCAGTTGGGTTTGGCTCCCGGGCCCTCCTTGTCCATCACCCAGCGAGGCTGGGCTGGTGAGCTGGCGTTGGGTGGGTGGTGAGGGAGTGGGTGTCTAACTCCCCTCTCTCCTTGCTAAGAGGTGAGAAGCTGCCCTGCCCCGTCTGGCACCTCGGAGGAAGCTGGCAGGCGTGCCCCCTGGAGTGATCACACCGGCTTGAGGGCACACCCTCCCCACCACACCCTTCCTAAACCTCTGTTCTCACCTAGCAGGCCTGTTGAGCACCCCACCCTGCCTCAGGGCCCCGGGGGAGCTTGGGAAGAGTGAGGGTAACTCAGGGTCAGTGCCCGACGGTGCCACCCCTGCCCCTCAGCAGGGCCTGGTCTGGTCTGAGGGGCAGAGCCTTCCTCATACCCCCAGTCAAGCCCACGTCTCCGTTCCTGATGCCTCCGGGTTGCAGCTCACGGAAGCTCAGAATGGCAGGCTGCAGGGGTTGCAGCTCACTTGAGGAAACTGAGGTTCGTAGAGAGCAGACACCTGCAGGAGGGGTGTCCATCTGTGAAGGGAAACTGGGTTTTTGTTTTTGTTTTTGTTTTTAAATATGTTTTGTTGATTTTTTTTTTTTTTTTTTTTTTTTTTTTTTTTTTTTTTTTTTTTACAGAGAGGAAGGAGAGGGGTAGAGAGTTAGAAACATCGATGAGTGAAAAACATCCATCAGCGGCCTCCTGCACACCCCTACTATGAATGTGCCCATAACCAAGGACCATGCCATTGACCGGAATCGAACCTGGGACCCTTTAGTCCACAGGCCAATGCTCTATCCACTGAGCCAAACCGGTTAGGGCAGAAACTGGGGTCTTAGCAGGAGCTTCCGGCCCTGTCACCATCTGAGCCTGTCCTGACAGGTGCTTCCCCCCACCTTCTCTTCCCCCTGGCTTCAGAGCGCCCTCTCTTCAGGGTGGAGTCAGGTCCCCCACATGCCTTTTTACCTTCCTTCTTCTTCAATGACGTACAGAGCACAGGGTCCCCAGTCACACCCCTCCAGGTCTATGTGCCGTGGGGGGGACATCTCCTGCAGCACCACCCCGCCTCGGTGATCTTGGGCAAGTCATCTCCCCTGCCTTGGCCTCAGTTTCCTCATCTGTATAATGGGAGCACTGGCCAGAGACTCCATAAAGGCCCCAGTGCCCCTCACCTAGCTGCCCAGGTCCCAGGGTGGCATCCCTGGGCATGGCCAGGTGTCCTGGGCAGTGCTGGGCAAGAGAGGGGTACGTGAGGCAACAAAGGCTTTCCGGCCGGAAGACTCGGGAGCCGCTGGGATGGGTGAAAAGTGTATGAGGAGCCGTGTGTCATCGGGTGAGGAGAGCCTTGCCAGCCCGGCTCCCCTCCAGCAGTGGTGGCTCTTCCTCAGATCACAGCTGTCTCCGCAGGCACCGAGCTGCCCTGGCATTCACTCAGGTTGATCTCTGTCTTCCAGGATGGATCGCCAGGTGTCTGAGGATAAAGGGTTTGCCTCGCTCCCCTCAGCATCCTCCAGGCCTCACGCAAGGCAGACGCTTATACAGCTTTGCTGCCCAGGTGAATAGACGGTGCCCTGGGACCCCCTCGCCTTTCTCCTCTGGGGTTGGCTTTGGGTTTCAAGGTTTAAAGGACCCAGTTCTGGGGAAAATTAGAAAGTCAATGGAATTTGTAGAAGGGTTGTCTTCCCTTTCTGCCTCTCTCTGCCTCTCTCTGTCTCTTTCTCTCTCTCTCTCTCTATGGAATGATTCATGAATTTGTGTGTCATCCTTGCTCAGAGGCACTGCTAATCTCTGTATCGTTCCAATTTTAGCATATGTGCTGCTGAAGCCAGCACCTTGCCGCCTCTTTGAAAGTGTTTTCTCCTCGCCCCACAAGCCCTAACTTCCTCCTTCCCCAGCAGTGAGCATAACACATACCTAAGGTGCGCATGGGGCAAGGTTTGCCTCTCCTGAGAGCACGTGCACTTGTCCTTGAAGAAGCGGCGTTCACCTGCCTGTGGGTGCCAGGCTTTCCTTACGGCAGTGACATGGTCGGCCAGGCTGGGTTTGTCCTGGGTCTGCCACTCACCATGTGTCCGCGAGAAAGTCCCCCTCATCTTTCTGCGACTCAGTTTGATTGTGTGTGAAAACGGGGCGTAGTGGCATCTCTTCAGCCATCCCCTGGTGCTGTGGTGAAGAGAAAGTGGGTCGGTGTACACACGTAGCATGTGTAAGCTGGAAGGCTCTGGACAGAAAAAGGGTTTGATGTCGCCACAACTGTGGCCTGGGCTGGGGCCTTCCCACGCCTTCAAATCACACCTGAGTAGACAGTGGCTGTGCGTAGAAGCCACCTCCTTTTTCTTAAGATAATTTTTAAATGTTTTTAAATATTTTTATTGATTTTGGAGAGAGGGAAGGAGAGGTGGGAGATAGAAACATGGATGAGAGAGGATCATTGATCAGATGCCTCTTATACGCCCCTTCCTTCTCTCCCCTCCCTTAGGACCGAGCCCACAACCGGAGCATGTGCCCTGAATGGGGAATCAAACCGTGACTCCTGGTTCACGGTCTGACGCCAACCACTGAGCCACACCTGCCGGGCAGGAGCCACCTCCCTTTAGTCTCCCTGCCGGCAGATCAGGATGTGCTGAAGTAACCCCCTCCCCACAGCTGTCCCAGCATGCCTGGAAGGGCTGTACCGCCTCCTCCCTCTCCATCTGGAGATGGGCTGCAGCCTTTCAGGCCAAGAGCAAGTGGGATCCCTCCCAGGGGCTCAGATGGCCCAGCAGCCTCCTAACCGGCATCTGCCCTGCAGAGAGCTCTGGGTGTGGTGGGGGCAGGCACCCATGGCCAAGTATCTGAGTGTCCTCAGCCTTAATTAGGAGTGCAGCCTGCCCCTCGGCAGCACAGGAATCGCTATCATGCTTCAGATGAGGAAACTGAGGCCCTGGACCTCAGAGCCAGCAAGTGGCTGAGTCTCAGTCACTCAAACCTAGGCCTCTTAAAAATATAAATTAAAAAAAATAATAATAATAAAATATATATATATACACATACATACATATATTTGTGTGTGTATACACATACAATAGTATTTCAGAATATATATATATATATATATATATATATATATATATATAATTTCAGACAAAGGAAGGGAGAGGGTTAGAGAAACATCAATGATGAAAGACAATTTTTTATTTTTTATTTTTATTTTTGTTTGTTTATTTATGATGAAAAACACTTTTTGATCGGCTGCCTCCTGCATGCCCCTACTGGGGATCGAGCCCACAACCTGGGCATGTGCCCTGATGAGGCATCGAACCGTGACCTCCTGGCTCATAGGTCAACACTCAACCACTGAGCTACCCCAGCTGGGCAAACCCAGGCCACTCCAGGGCCGGCACACAGGCAGCTGCCTGGGTCCGCTCTTGGGACCGGGCTGCCTTGTTCCTGAGACTGAGGGAGCCGCTCTGGAATAAGCAGGCTCGCAGGGCAGGCCTCGGAGGCCAAGAACGTCCGGCCCCCTCAGCCTGCGCGGCCTGCAGGGTCTGCCCCGGACTCCTGTGAGCGGTTCTTCAGCCCTCGGACGGGGCCTGGATCCAGGAAGCAGGAGTAGCCACACTGCCTTGGGTTTGTCCCATTCGGTTTGAGGCGACGTGCTCAAGTCCTGCGAGTGCCCTCTCTCCTGCCCCTAAACCGCGATGCCCGTCATTGCTTTCCGACTGGCAGAGGGGGAGGCTGGTGTGAGAGCAGCCGGAGCCGCGTCTCAGGCGAGGGCAGCGCTGGGATGTAAGCCCAGGTCTGCGGGCCCCAAAGCCCGTGCTCTAATATTGGGGTCTGGAATTCCCTCAGGGCCTCCCCACCCCGGGGCAATGAAGCCATGAGGGTCCCTGCAGGCGCCCCAGCGCCAGCGCCTCTCCTCTCCCACCCTGTGACCCAGTCTCTGCTCCTTCCCTCCGTCCCCCCTCTCCTGGGGTCCCCAGAAGGACCTGCCAGGCGGGGGAAGGCACTCTCTCTGCAGGTGCTGCGCTGAGGACGGTGGTGTTTGCTCAGCCTGCACCTGCCACTGCCCCGCCGTTTCCCGGCTGGCGGAAGCTCAAGTTCGGCGTGGGCCCCGGAAGCGTGGGGCTCCAGGCCAGCCACCTGCCCAGGTGCCGCTGGCACAGGAAACACCAGGCCCAGGCAGCCCACACCCCGGGCAGGCCCTCTGAGCCCCCAGTGTGGGGCCAGGGCAGGCACACAGATGCTTTGGGGAGGAGCCTGCCTGTGGGTGCTGCGGCTGAGGGAGGATGGTCCCCCACAGAGGAGGCCACCCTGCGAACCCCGGCAGGGGCGGGAGGCAGGTCCAGAATGGGGGCAACTCACCCCCTCTGTACAGAGGGTGGGGGCTTTGACCAGACAAGGGAGCATCAGGGATCATCAGAGGAGCAAAACCCAGCTCCCCGTTGGGGTGGGGCTGTACTGGGCACCCCATTATCACGAAGAGGCAGAGGGGCCTCGTGGTGCTTTCTGCAGGTGGCCAGAGCTGAGCTGACCTTCCCCTCCTCCTGAGCTGCTGGGCCTGCAGCCTCAGGATGGGCCGAGAACGCAGCCTGTCCGTCTTCCCTCCCTCCCTCCCTCCTTCCCCGTCCCTTTCAGGGTGGACTGTGGCTGCAGGGACATTAAGAGCCAGCACAGAGAAGGCACCTGACCTTGGGGAGGAATGTGGAAAATGTCTGCAGCTTGGAGCGGAAAACCCCCACCTAGGGCCCAGGAATGTGGGCTCCCAGCCAGGCAGCCTCCCTTCCAGTGCCCCCCAGGGAGATGTGCCTATGCTTGGAAGGGAAAGGGAGGGGGGGGAGGTACAGGGTTCAAGAATGACACTGTTGGGGGTCCCCTAAGGTCACCTTGTGAAACGCCTGCCCTGGCCGGTGTGCTTAGTGGTTAGAGCCCTGGCCTACACATCTGATCGACATCATGTACCTGGGTTGCAGGCTTGATCCCTAGCCCTGGTCAGGGTGAGTGCAAGAGGGACAGCCAGTGCATATGTCTCTCTCACATTGTTTCTTACTCTCTCTACCCCCCTCCCCCCGACTCTCTCTGAAAAAGCAATAGGAAAAAACAACAGAAATGCTGCCCTGCCCGTGGTACCAGCATCGTGCCCTTTCTGAGCTTGTGAGGGCCTGGTCCCGGCTCCCGGAATGCCCTCATGGAGGCAGCTAAACTTTGACTCCTCAGACCCACAGAACCACGGAATGTCAGAGCCCTTTGCAAAGAGCAGCTGCTGCACCTATCCCGTCGTACAGATACGGAAACGGACGCCCGGGGGAAGGGGAGTTGGCCTCGGGTAGGTCACCGCGGGCCAGGGCTTCGGGGCAGGTGCCCTCCCCACATTCTCTTGCTTCTGTAATGCTGGCAGCCGGCATCCTTCTCCTTTTAGGGAGACTCAAGCTCCCACAGTGTTCTTGCCGGGAACCCAGTGCCTTCGGCGGCAGACGCAGCCAGAGGGCCTGGCCTCTGTGCGAAGGCCCTGCTCCAGCGCCGGCTAGACAGAACAGATAAGGCCACGCCAAGGCCAACAGAGGCCCCTAGGGACTGAACCGGAGACGTAAGGAGTGTGCTGCCCTCTCCTGGCCACCTCTGGGCAGGACCGCTGCTGTCCAGGCCTCCGGCTGCTTGTCTTCTCCCAGCTAAGAAAATCCCCGTCCCCTCCTGTTGGAAAGCACTCCGGGAGGGCTGGAGGAGGTAGGCTGAGCCAAGTAGATGGTCCCTTGTTCCATGTAGGATCCAGAGGAAGAAGACTTCAGGCTAACAGGTGAGGCCTGGTGTGTGTTCCCCACCACAGCGCCGGAGAGTGGGGAGGGACTTGCGCCTTCCACGGAGACCCAATGGAGACAGCCTAATCCATCCACACCAGACAGGAAGGGTGAAAATTTAGAGGATATTTATTTCTCCTAAGGTCCACCGCTGGCAGCTGCTGGCCCTCCCGTCCCAGGGGATTTCCCTCTCCTTTTCGGAGAAATCCCCTCTCTTCTTGGAAGTGCTCACGGGGAGGCCGGGGTAGGAAGAGAAACCATACACAACACCCCAGAGCCTTAAAAAAAAATAAAGCCACAAACAACCGCCTCCACACAAGCACACACAAAATAAATAGACACATAAAGGGGGAGCTTCGCGCCTCCTGTCCTGGCTCCGAAGGCTGCTGGGGAGAGGGGCTGGGTGGCGCTGCCCGCTCCTCCCTGCCAGGATTTCCCCGGAGGCTAACTGGTTCGGAAGTGCCTGACAGCCACGCACAAGCCCTGGCTTCCGAGAGAGGACGGGGGCGGGCCTCTCCCGGGAGCTCTGTGGGGAAAGGGGACAAATGAACAAATAAATAAATAAATAGAGCCCCACGCGCTCCAGGGGCCTAAGAGCGTAGGCTGAGGCTCAGGGCCCCTGGGGCCTGTTTCCCTGAAAACGAGCAGATCCAGTGACGGGCGGAAAGAGGAGGGAAAACGCCAGCCCAAAGTCACACCTGCCAGGCCTCCAGGGCCTGCATCCTCCAGCCCCCCCCCCCAAAGGGCCAGGCCAGAACCCAGCCTCACACCAGCTCTGGAGGAAGGAGGGGTGGACTGAACCTTCTCTCTGGCCCAGCCCAGCAGGTGCCCAAGGCCGGGAAGGCCCTCCCTCTCTCTGGGGCCAGCAAAGCCTCCGAGGGAGCAGGGACGGCCCCCCGGGGGGACTCTTGCTGGGGAAGCTGAGGCCCGGGCCCCCTCCTGCTCCTACGCTCACGGGCTTTCCTGCCTGGCCGCCTCCAAGGCAGTTGGGAGACATCCTTGTGCAAATGTAAGCAATCGAAACAGTCCCTGCCGGTGTCCTCCTCCGCTCCGTTTGG